CACAAGGGACACATCCCCTCAGAGGAGCATAACCAGCTTTGGCCCACCAGGGACCCTGTGGCCAGCTCCTAGCCTGAGAGGAAGCCTTACAGAGTTACTGCTCACCTGACCACAGCCACACTAGGCATTCATCAAGATGCCCCAATCAGAAACCCTTAGATGAGCTAGATTGGCTTTTCGTGCAGTTCTATTGAACAAGCGGAAGCAAATTCACATAGGCAAGATTTTTTTTCCTTCTTGTTTTGTGAGACGGTCAGGGCTCCCTATGTGGCCTGGGCTTGGAGTTGCAAGTTGCGTAGGCGGAGTCGCTCTCACTTGCAAGCCCCTCCGCCTCCCAGGTTTCAAGCAGTTCTCTTGCTCAGTCCCCCAAAGTAGCTTGAGGGATTACAGGTGGGCCCGCCACCACGGGCCAGCGTAATTTGTATTGTGGAGGTTAGAGGACGGGGTTTCCACCTCTTTGGCACAGTTTGGGCCTTGAGTACTCCTGCCTCCCCCGGGCGTGCGGTGCCACCCGGCCTTGGGCCTCCATAAGTGCTGGGAATTACTAAGGCATACTCACGCCACCCCAGCCCAATTTTTCCTTGGCGTAAATAAAAAAGCGGTCTACCAAGAAGGTCCTCACGGAATTTCTCTCGTCCCACCAATCTCACCAAAGACTAGAGGACTAGGAGGACCCAAGCATAAAGATCCTATTCTCAGGAGGTGATGGGCTGAGGGAAAGGCGATTCTTCAAGCTTTTTAAAAAGTAAGATCTGATCAAAAAGGACTAAATCCGATAATTATTTCCCTAAAACTTTTGATTTAAACTCTAAACCATTATCGGGAACCAGGTCACAGTTAGCTCGGCAGAGATGCATAAAGCGCTCATATGCCACCAAAAAAGTTAGGGGAAAAGAGTGAAAAACCCCAACAACAGCTACCTGACGAATTCAGTTTCTCATATCAATTTTTTTTTTTGTGAGACGGCGGAATCTGCTCTGCGCGCCGAGGCGTGGAGTGCCAGTGGCGGCTGATCTCAGCTCATCTGCAAGCTCGGCCTCGCTCCGGGTCAACGCCAGTTCTCCTGCCTCACCTCGTACCGAGGGCAGCCTGACTACAGGGCGCCGCCCACCCGTACGCCCAGCTAATTTTATGTATTTTTAGTAGAAGATGGGGTTTTACCCGGTTAGCCAGGATGGTTCTCGGATTCCGCCGACTCCTCGAGTCCCACCCATCTCAGCTCCCAGTGGAGGTTGCCTGGGATTTACAGGTCACCCCCCACCCAGCGCCTAATTTGTTTATTAGTAGGCGTTCAGTTTTGCGAGTGGGATGGGTTCCCAGCAGGTGTCCCCTGAGAACCCATAAATATCCCAGAGATGGTAGTGAGAACATCACCAAGGAAAAGAGTCTCATCACTCAAACCAGAGCAGCGGGCAAAGAGCCGGAAATGAAGCTTAAATGCACCCTTCGAAGAGGTGAGTGGGGCAGGCTCCTCTAGCGGCTGTACCTGCCGCCATGCCGGGGAGTGCAGCTGAGTGTACGTCCGCGTCAGGGCTGGACTGGGCCGAGCCAATCTGCTCGGGTCTCTCGAGGCACCTTCTTAGTTGGTGGGGAAACATACGCGGGAGTTCCCAAATTTTTCTCGATAAGTATCATTCGCTATTCAGGGAGAGCCAGGGGCGATGGTGGCTTCCCGCGTACGCGCTATATATCCCGAGACTTTGGCGGGGCCAAGGCGTGTTGGATTCACGTGGGAGGGTCGAGCAGTTCCAAGGACCAGGCTCTGGCCAACATCCTAATTGAAAACCCCGTCTCTAACAAGAAATAAAAAAAAAAAAAGGTAGCAGGGCCACCGGGTGCGCTCGCGGGTATGCCTGTAGTTCCCAGGCTACTCACGAGGACCTGAGCAGGAGAATCACGTTAACCCTGTGGGGAAGTGCAGATGTTGCATGAGCCAAGATCATGCCACGCACTCCAGCCTGGGCCAAAGCAGGATAAGGGAGGACTGTCTCAAAAAAAAAAAAAAAAAAAAAAAAAAAGGACATTTACTGGGCAAAACGCGAGGTCTGCTCTTCCAGAGCGGGCAGGAAGCAGCTGCGCGGGTCACCGTCTGATGGAAAGGTGACTGGAAACACTTAAACGACCATGTCCAAATTGGGAGGCCCCAACTTACTGGTCCACACCGCCTAAGTCAAGTTACTAACCGTAGAAACCAACAACAGGCCTAAGATGGGACGCCGTGTCATGGGGACCCCTCTCCCCATGGCAACACGCGGAGAGAGGGCGTGTTCTTGTCTCCCAGCAGCACTTGAGAGCAAAAAGCATATATCACAGGAGCAAAAAGAGTTTTACCCAAAAAACGCCGGGCGCGTCTTGTCGAGAACGATCAGGAAAGCATGGCCCTGGCCAACGTCGGCCATTGCTGGCAGAGCAGTTGCCTTCTAGCGTCTCACCACCACACCACCAGGCCACGAGCACAGATCCTGCGAAGAGCCCCGATGGCGTCCCACCGCGACGCACTCGTCGGTGGATGGCTGGAACGGAACGACACAGAGAGACAAGACTTATGGTCAAACCTCGGCACCACTCATCGAGGGGGGATTCCAGCTGAGCATATTGTCTCAATTCTTTTTTGAGGGGGACAGTTCTTGCCTGTCCACCCAGGCCTGCCAGAGCCCGCAGCCACATAACCAAATCACAGTCACAAAAAAATAATAATAATAATAATAATAAAGTGAAATCCTGTCATTTGCGGCAACATGAATGGAACTGAAGGCCATTATGTGAAGTGACATAAGCCAGGCACAGAAGGACAAGTATTGCACGTTATCACTCATATGTGGGAGCTAAAAAGTGGATCTTGTGGAGGTAGAGTAGAATGAGAGATACCAGAGATGAGAAGGGTGTATGTGGTGGGGAAATGACGAGAGCTGGTCAACGGGTACAAACATACAGCTAGACAGAAGTTCTCATGTTCCACAGCACAGTGAGGCGGCAACAGTTAACAACTGATTGTATATTTCAAAATAACTAATATTTGAAATGTTGACAACACACAGAAAGGATACATACCAGAGGTGACGGATACTCTACATAAAGACTTGATCATTACACTCCATGCACATAAGAGTATCACATGTACCCCATAAATACTGCAAACCGCATGTTTCAAAAGAGAGACACATAGATACATTTCAACACTTGGAATAAGGACGGCTCCTTCCGCTGCAGTCTATTTTCATGAGGCTGATTCTCCGAACTCTTCACTTGACTTTTCCTCCTACCTGCGGCATTTTTTCAGGCTCCACAGTTCTTCTCAGATCTGAGTTTTTCTGAAATCCCCTCAAAACAAACATTTGCACAAAATCTGAAAAACCACAAAACCAAAGTATTTATGAACATCGTGGTCTCCAAGCAACTGTGAACGGCTGTAAGCCAAGACCATCCACTTCAGAGGCATACGGCTTGGCCATCAGGACCTGTGGCAGCACGCTCCTAGCCTCGAGAGGAACCGCTACCAGAAGTACTGCTCACCTGACCACACCACACACTAGCATTCACAGACCCAAATCAGAAACCCCTTAGAAGAAGCCCAGATGCTTTCTGTCAGTTCCTATTGCAAGGGAACAAATTATAGGAAAGAATTTTTTCCTTTCTCTGTTATGTGAGACCGAGTCCTCCCCTCTGTCGCCTGGGGCTTGAGTGGCAAATGGTGGCGATCGCTCTCCACTACACCTCCGCCTCCCGGGTTCGAAGCAGTCTCGCTCAGCCTCCCAAACGTAGCTGAAGAATCAACAGGTGCCCTGCCCCCCCCGAACAAGCAATCTTTTTGTAATCTATGAGCAGACGGGGTCCACCTCTGAGGCCAGGGTTGGCCTTCGAACCCTGGCCGTGATCCACCGCCTGGCCCCCAAAGTGGCTGGGAAGAGGCACGATCAACTTGCACACGCCCCATTTCTTCGCTTAAATAAAAGTGGTTTCCAAGAGGGTCTCACGGATTCGTCCAATCCCGCCCACCCAATACTCCAAGACTAGAACTAGAGGGACCCAGACGCAATCCTATTCCCAGGAAAATGTGTGGGCGAGGAAAGGAATTCGCAGCTTTTAAAAAATAAGATCAAAAAGGACTGAACCGAAATATTTTCTAACTTTGGATTTACCTTAACCTAATCCTGACAAAGTCACAAGTACCATCAGGAAATGCTAGCCTCATCCCACCAAAACCTTAAAGGAAAAAAGGAAAACCACAAAGCTACCTGTCCGATCCAGTTCCCTTCATCAATTTTTTTTTTTTGGACCGAATCTGCTCTGTCCCCAGCGCGGGAAGTGCAGTGGGCGCCCTCTCACCTCAACTTGCAAGCCCGCCTCGTTCACGCCATTCTCCTGTCACTCCGAGTAGCTGGAATAAAAACAGGGTCCCCCGCCACAACCCCCGGCTAATTTTGTATTTTTAAGTAAAGACGGGTTACCGTGTTTAGCCAGATGGTCTCGATCCCTGACTCTGACCACCCCATCCATGCCCTCCCAAAGGCTGGGATACAGTTGGACCACCCGCACCCCAGCCTAATATTTATTAAGAGGCGTCATTTGTATGGGGAATGGGCCTCCCAGCAGTGTCCCTGAAGAACCAAATCCCAGAATATGAGGAAACACAAAAAAGAGTCCTCATCACTACAAACACAGCCAGGCAAAGGAGCCACAAAAACACACAACAATTGGGTGCACACTCAAAAAAACCACAAGCCACACAACAGCATCACACCACACACACAAACTCGACTTCATTCGATCATCACAACCATCTTTTGAGGGCTATGATCACATTACATCAGTATCCCGAGCAAAACGATCATCACCTTAACCAGCACTTTGGGGCAAGGCGGGTGGATCACGAGGATTCAGGAAGTTCAAGACCAGCCCTGCCACCCTAATAAAACCCCGTCCTTTACAAAAAATTTAAAAAAGGTAGCCAGGCCATGTGCCGCATGCCTTGTAGCCCGCTACCCTTCCACAGCCCTGAAGGCAGGAGAATCACCTAACCTGGGGGGCAGATTGCAGTGACCAAAGATCCATGCCACTGCATCCAGCCCTTGGGCAACCAGAAGGAACTCTCCTAAAAAAAATGGCCGGGCGCGGTGGCTTCACGCTGAAATCCCAGCACTTTGGAGCCCAGGCGGGCGGATCCAACAAGGTCAGAAAGATCGAGACCAATGGAAAACCGTCTTACTAAAAATACAGAAAAGCACAAAAAAAACCGACCCGGAGCCGCGGTGGCGGGCGCATCGTAGTCTTCAGCTACTCCGGGGGGGAGCTGGCAGGAGAAATGGCGTGAACCCCAGGGAGGCGGAGCCCTTTGCCCCAGTGAGCCAGGATCCCCCAGCGCTCACTGCACTCCAGCATGGGGCGACAGAGCGAACTCGTCCAAAAAAAAAAAAAAAAAAAAAAAAAAAAAAGGAATGTACCGGCAAAGCCAGGTCTGCTGAACTTCAGAGGGCAGGCAAGCCAGCCCTGCGGTCAACTCTATGGGAAAGGTGCCTGGAAACACTAAACACATGTCAGTGGGGCCAACTTACCATTTCCACACCAGTCCAAGTTAAGATGTGAACCCACAAACAGGCTAAGACCTGGAGCGTCGTCCATGACTCTCTCATGGCACAGGGAGAAGGGCTGTTCCTGTCTCCCAGCAGCCACTTTAGAAGCAAAAAGACATATGCCACAGATCCAAAATGAGTTTTACCCAAAAACCCGCGTCCCTGCCATGGAACGACCAGAAAAAGCATGGCCCTGGGCGACGTCAGCATCTGGCAGGGAATGCATCTATCCTGTTCACAAAGGCAGCACAGATTCCTGAAGAGCCATGCTCCCACGGCAACGCATGTCGGGATGGCCTGGGAGGCACACACAAAGAAGACAGACCCCTAGGCTCCACCTCAGTCCGATCATCAAGGGGATTTCCAGTCTGAGCCTATATGTCGCTAATTTCTTTGTTTGAACATGTTTTTTGCTGTCAACCCAGGCTGGAGGTGCAAGCGGTAAACAATCACATGTCACTGCACCCTCACCCCCCAAGGCTCAAGCAATCCTCCTATCTCAGCCTCCTGAGTCAGTTGGACAACAGGTGCGGACCACTAACGCTCCCAGCTGGAGGGCTATACTTTGCCCAGGCCTGGACCTCACAACTCCCGGCATCAGGAGTCCACACCTTGCCCCCACCAAGTGCGGATGACTGCGTGATCGGTCGTCACGCGTCCCGTGACGGCTGGTGAGCGCCTGCCGCCATGGGATGGCTTGGTGTAGGGCAACCTCCGCCAGGCCTCAAGTTATTTCTAATTTCCCCCTCTACAACTTCTTTTGACCCATTATGTTGTTCAATCTCCAAATATTGTGGATTTTCCCAATCCTTATGTTGCTGATCCTAAATATAAATTCATTGTGGTTAGAGAACATAATTTGA